AAATACTGGTACCTTTCTGGCTTCCTGGATCACTAATAGGCATATAAAACAAACCGATCTCGGGATTTTGTTCCTGTTCGACAATAAGAGATTGTCTTTTTGTCACTCTGACTTGAAAAGAGAAAATTAGCAGTAAAAGAGGATCACTGTCATCAATATGCCTTGATTGACCAACACTAATACTAGGAGAAAAGGTGACACATCAAACGTATGACCATGAAATGTGCTACAGGAATAATTTCCTGATGAAAGCCATTCTCCAGAGATAATTTTGCCATAGCTATTGTGCCTAGACAAGCAGGATACAAATTTCGATAAGACTAAATATTTGACCCGAAAAAGGTTTTTCATTTACAAGTGGATTAATCACAACTTTATTTTTAGATAGGTCATTAACAGTAATAAATGATTACCATCACCTGGTAAAGAAAACACATCTCCGACAGTCACGTGTCATTGACCACGTCTGACGCCAAACTGTCACAATGGAGAAGAACATTAACGAAGCGATACTCTAATCCCTAAAAAAGAACACTTTATTAAAACAAAACATTTCGTGCAAATGCACAGCTCCTGATAACAAAAGATTCTGAGTAGCTCTTGTGTCCCTATATTTTATTTGAGATAGGCTTAGCAGATCAATGATATGTGATATAGAACCTTTCAACATGACTGGTTCATAATTCTCCATAACAAAATCAGACAGGGACTTGTTTGATCCAACCAGTGTATCACTTTCAATAATAGATCATGACCTTGATCTTTTATTTAATAGAATTTGCAATGCTTCTGTCTTAATTATGTTGCATATTTTAAATATGTAGAAATTAGATATAATCTGTCGTTTCATCTTATAGTAAGTGCACGTGGGAATATATAGGAATTTCTGATCAGTCTTATCACAAGTTTAATTCCTAAAATGTGTGATAGACGAAGATTTTGAAGTACTCGTAGGCGACGTAAATGGTATTTTTACCAATATCTCCTCTTGGGTTGGATGCAAACCGAAGTTCTCCACTTCAAATGATATTGTGATAGCTTTTTGGTTCCACTTAAGATTTCTCACATATGCGAGATTGAAATAGATGGGAATAAGAAAGTTTTTTTAACAACGTGAATTTATAATTCAAAAGTAAATGAAACTTCTCTGAAATACTTTAAAGAAATTAGGAAAAAAAAACTATTTTCTTGATACGATTCTATGGCTTTAACAAATCTAAAAGAAAAGTGTGAAAACCATCAAACTTTTTAAAATTCAAAACATAATATATTTTCCTAAAATTCAGTCAAAAATAAAAAAAAACATTCAGAATGGTGATTGATATCCAAAATAGTCATAAATTTATATAACAAGCCCAAAATATCGAGTATTCTAAATGAGTTTCTGTTGTGTTCCGAACGAAGTCAAATTTATTGTGCTGATGTTTCAATAGTCTGCAATTTTCTGATATACTGCCCTTATACATCACAATGATATCTAAAAAGTCTTTAAATCAATTTAACGTAATTCCAATATATATATATATATATATATATATATATATATATATATATATATGTATGTATGTATGTATGTATGTATGTATGTATGTATGTATGTATGTATGTATGTATGTATGTATGTATGTATGTATGTATGTATGTATGTATGTGTATATATATATATGTAATTATGTGTGTATTTATGTATGTATGTATGTATGTATGTATGTATGTATGTATGTATGTATGTATGTATGTATGTATGTATGTATGTATGTATGTATGTATATATATATATATTTATATATATATATATATATATATATATATATATATATATATATATATATATATACACTAACACTAATCTCTTAATCCTGCACGTTTTGCGAGACAGCTGCTAGTACTATTTTTATTAGTCTCTGATGGGTCTCAGCTGGGGGTTTAAACCCGCAAACTCCTTCATCCGAGGCGGACGCTCTTTCCACTCAGTCCACCGGAGCGTTCGAAAATGCAAGCAATTTTTGTTTTTTGTGATATAAAAATTGTAAGCCAAATTAGCTATGGTTCTTGAAGTTTGTCTGTTTGCCATAACGAATGTCATTGCCCAAAAAAAAAAGCTTGGAGAAAAACGTCTTTTGCAGAGACTTGGCCATGTCTGTGGAGAACACTTTGTGAGCCAGTCATTAAATAATACAATGAAACTACCAACAAAAACGTATTTGGCAGTGACAACTGTATTCGAGCCTTTTACGGTTTAATAAACAGACTGGATGGCTATTTCAGTGACCACAATAAGTCTTTTTTTTTTGTCATTTAAATGATCCTTTACTATAGACGTAGTCAAGTTGACAGGTTCTGATCTTCACACAAATTATCAAGCTCAAAAGTCTCTGGTCACTTCAGATGGTTTGCTTTTTTTATATAAATCTTCACCAGTACAATTATGGAGACCTTATTTAACGGCTATTTGGTGCCATCCCTAACAAAGCCTATCATTTCAGGATGTTTTGGGCAAATTTCGTTCAACAACTTTTAGCTTTTTATAAGAGGTCATTTAAGTTTTTTTCTCTTTATAATTTACGTAATCCTATCAATACAGAGTTGCAGATTGCATCATTTTTACAAACTTTAAAAGATTGTTATCAGTGAATTTAAATTAGATTTTTTCTGTCAAATTTTTGGGGTAATTTCAGGTAACGTTATCTTGATTTTGTTTCTTTTTAAAAAAGTACAGGTTTGTATGTGTAGTAATGGTTGCTAGGTTTCATTGCGGACAGGCCCCATCTGAATGTCATACCTTAAAAGCCTTTATGCCAAGAAGAGTTCATATCTGGTCAAATTATGTTTAACAACTTTTGAGAAGTTATTTATAAGTGGTTCTATTTGCAGACAAAGCTGCCATATTTGATACATAATCAGGATAGTTTTAAAATAAAACCATCTAAACCAGCATGCTTTCGGTCAAATCTGTTGACGTTTTGTTGAAAAGTTTTCGCTTTATAAAAAAAACAACTAATTTCTAACATTTTTACTGCTATTAGTAACGGCGATAGTTTTAGAATGTATCTGCATAATTTGTAAACAAATGATAGCGTTCGTGCCACATTTTCTGTCAATTTAGGCAAATTCTGTTGAGATCTTTTTGGTAAGTCATTTAAAGTTTGCAACAGAAGTCGACAAAGTTGATTAGAAAAGTTGATGGATACATGGCCATATCACTAACTCGCTTGGCCTTGCAGCTATGTCAGCTAAAATATTTATTATATGCAACAAAATAGATGTCCAATAGTCTGTTTGCAGACAAAGTAGTAAACCATTTCTATTTTTGGGATTTCTGTTCAATGCCTGCAACCCTGTACCACATAAATCTGTTTTCACTTTCAAATAATTTTAACGTTGCCTGTGAGGCTGAGGTAGAGCAAAGATGTATGTACATGAAAAGGACAAGTTTACTGATTTTTCAATCCAATTAAATACGTTATTCCCCTCCCCCTCGAAATTTGGGATAAGAGACGAAATAATTTTTGGGTGAAAAAAAAATCAGTTGATTTTTTTTTTCTCAAGGTTAAAGTCTGCATAGTTTGGCAACGGCAAGTCAATTATAACTATTTTGTTTTACAGAAACCATTATGCTATGGTAGGTTAGTTACCTTAAGATTTAAACCTTCAAAAGCGCTCAGAAGCAAGGCAACTGACAGTAAGGACTCGTGAAGGTAAATGAAGCTTATCTTCTATTATTACATGCAAATGTATTTTTGCATTGGTTGGACAGGTTAGAAACCTTTTGACGCCTTACATACGTAATATTATTTGTCACCTACAATGAAACCCTTCATCAAAGTTTGTTGAGACCATGTGGAAAAGTTTCCTACAATGAAATCCTTCGTCAAAGTATGGTGAGACTTTCTTGGAAAGAACTCGAGTAATTGCCCATAAACCAAACCATTATCAGTGGAAGAAATGTCCAACTTGCATCGTCCGACTGGACAAGTAAAACTTTCTGGTTTTAATTGCAAAGCGGTTATTGGAACCTGTTTTTAAAATAATAAAAGCAATCACTGTCAAGACATCAAGTACTAGTGGGAATGAGCTGGGGGATTTTATCTTCTGCTTCCAAAACTTTGGAAACAAAAAAAACACAAAGAAATTAAACTGAAATATTGTATTTGGTATATTCAGAATTGCAAGGGATATCTGTATTGCTCATTGTGTAAATGTGCTAGTAAAAACAACACTTATGCGTGTTAACATGAGAAAATTGCCATGATGAAAAAAATGGAAATCATTCTCAATGTTATTTTTACATGCTTTTATTTATAGTCATATCTTTATTATTTTCATTCTGATTATCTTGCAGATGTTTACAGATTTTGAATAAATTAAATTATTGTCAGCATCAATACAAATATGTGATGCATACATTTAGTTATTCTGTTATATTGTGTTCTTTGGATTTATCCAATCTCTGTATCTTATCCATCTAATTTTACTGCATATCACTAATTTCTTTTAAACAGACTTATGAAAATATGCTGAATATTTTGAGCGTCACAAATTAATTACATGGACCTAATACACAATTCAATTATAATGCATGACACTGAACAAATCAATTTTTTTACAGGCATACATTCATATATTCAAAGTTGAAATATAGAGTATATAAGACATTGTCTATCAACTCAGAACATGGCGTGCTTTTCAGAAGTGACTTTAAAATGCTGACCTTACTCTAGCCTTGTTAAGGTGGTCACATAATCCAAACTTCAGAACAGAAAAAGGGTTTTTAGTGTGTGTGTTTTTAACATAGCTTTTACAATATTTCAGTCATATCGCTGAGATGCATGCAGTGTAGTTTATAGTGATGTTTACCACTGAAGCATCATAGAGGAGACATGTAGCATGTCTTACCAAGTCACATTATCCTGACACCATGCCGATTACTACTAACAATAACCTCTTAATGCTGGATGCCTAGCAAGGCAGCTGTTAGTACCATTTTTATTAGTCTGTTATGATTTGGCAGGGGTTCAAGCCCACAACCTCTTGCATCCGAGGCAAATGCCCTAACCACTAGGCCACCAGAGCAGTCTAAAAAGGACTACAGACTGGTACCAAGCTCAACTAATCTGATCCAAGATCACCTTAGTAACTTATAGATCTTGCTCTTTATCAAATTAATCTGAGATTTTGATAATATAATCCTATTAACAATATTGGATGAAAGATATAATCTCTAGTGTTAACATGCTTAGCCAATTGGATTCAAAATCAATTTATTAATATGTATTGATCTCATTCAGTAGTGAACTCATCCAAAAAAAGATAATCAGCCAATATTATTGCTTAGGTCAAAACAGGACCAGAAATATCATTATTTTGAAAGGTAAAAAAAAGAAAAATACCCAATCTGATGCAAGAGTAAGGTGAAAATATGCAAAATTCTTGCAAATAATAAAACTAAATATTAGTGATGTTGATTAAATACATCTAACTACAAAGTTGGATCAAATCAGATCAGAACTATGGTCCCCATGGTGATAGCAAAAGCTCAGCCAATTTGATGCTTCATAGGATTATTTGCTATTTTACAAACTTGACCTTTGGTACACTCATTACTGAAATTAGCACTTTAATATTTAAGTGTGGAATTTAAAAACAAATTTTGAACATACAAAGATTCCAAATAATGACATGGCTCATGTGGTTTTCTCCATAGTGAAGCCTGCATCAAGGATAAGTCTTTATGAAAAAAGCAAGTATATTCATAAGCATTATGAAATTTAAGCTATCAAAATTTTGTCATGGTGTTTCCATAAATTTACAATATATACTGAATAAGCAAAACAAGTCCTGTAGTACTCCTAATAATATAATCAATTAGAATGGGTCAGTATGCCATTAAATTGGTATGGATAGGTATTACATGTCAATATCAAAACCACTTAATGTTCTTAACTGTATAGGTTCAATAAAGGGTGTAAAATTCCAACAAAAATTCAACTTGGTCAATATTTCTTATCGAAGAAAGCCAAACTGGGTTTTGTAGACAGAAGACCTTAGTAGGCAAGTTCACCTTTCAAAATTTTGTTTCTGAATACTTTGCACTATTGCTATTATTATTATTATTATTATTATTATTATTATTATTACATTATCAATTTATTTGTTTTGTTGCATGCTTCAACAAAATCATAAAATACATGTATATGTTGTCTTCTCACAAACTTACATTCCATGCAATTTACTTTGTCTTATATTCACTTGAATCCTTCCAAATTATATCTTCACTCATTCTTACAAGAAATCACTTACATTTGTTCCCATATCATCACAAAACACTAATTCACTACTATTTAACAGTTACAGATGTCTGTCATGAGTAAAGAAATGAAAAGAAGCCATATATGACTTGTTCATAGAACATGAACCAAATCTACATTTATATTACAAGAGGTAATTACTGCATGACCCCTGCCCATAATGAGAAGGGATTCTCTCATCATCCTCAAAGATGAACATTTTTCATCAAAGACAGGCATAGAGACTGAATAATACTTAACAAACTGGCACAAAAAGCATCTCTCATTTCCGTTGTCACAACACAACTGCTTTTCTGCTTTTTCCAACTCCTAGTACATGAAATGATTTTCCCCTTGGCCCTACTGATTAAAACAATATTGTCTTCAAATCTCTAATACTTATTACTCTAATAGTGTGAGTGGAAATCAATTAGTAATAAGTGATATTAGAAATGTTTACAGATTAATTCACTTGATATGCTTTTATCAAAACAATGCCTCCCTCATGCATCAAAAGTTTAATTTGCATCCAAGGAGAGATTAATGTCTATGTATTGTCAGATTAGAAAACATCTACATGCTTACCAGAAAAGGTAAGTGACCATTATATACAAGATTTTTATGAATGATATTTGTTTTTAGGGGTGGGGATCAGAATGGCCAAGGAAACCAGATGACCACTGTATATGCTAATTGTCCGGACAGGTTTAACTGTATAAAAGTTTTAACACTAAACAACAAAAGTATCGCTGAATCAGATCAAAGCAAAATTATCACAACAAAACAGGCAACAATATGTAAGGTACTGGCTTAAACCTAAAAGGTAATTATCATTCATACTTGACAATGAAAGGTTCTATTGCCAATGTTGCAGTCTAGTACAATATTGAAAGTATAACATAAGCTCTCCTCTTTGCTTTATGCTGGTAAGCTTAAAACAGTAATAAGTCCTTGTTTTACAATGCAATATGTTTATTTATTCATCATTAAGCTTTGGCAAAAAAAAGATAACATACTTTGATACATAAACTATACACTCTGTAACACTCAGGACAGATATATGGATGGACAGATGAACCTAATGAAGAAAGGACAGAAAATACCATCTGACTTCTAGGGCCATAAATGAGGCAGCTAACATAAGTTGTTCTGGGCAGGTACAGAACCTATGATCCTCGGATTACAAGTGCAATGTTATTCCAACCAAGCTACATTGGCTTTCTAAATCGAATTAAGGACTTATTGAAATTAAAAGCTTCCATATAATGGCATGGCATTTTTTAAACTTATTACTACACATAATTTTGCAACATTACAATTTGAAGTTTCCTGTGATCATAGTTTGATATATTACTATATATCCATATACGTAATATCCAAAACAGCATTTATTTACAACAAAAAAAAAAAAACAGAATCACTTCATGGTTTATTTGTATCTTTACAACAATTCTTTCTGAAATTCTCCATCTGAGGTCTTTAATGTCTGCAGAAACTGAAAATTAATGTTACAAATGTCAAAAATGTTACATGACAGAAACATGTTCATTAGGCATTGGGTATTTATCATCTATTTGTAATAGTAAATGGATTTATGAGATGAAGAAGCAATGCTTTATTTACATTAGTAATCTGCCACTCTTACTTTGTGAGACAATGTCCAAATACATAAACATAACACTAAAAGCTGGACAGTACTAATGTCTGATAGTTATCCCCTAGTTATAATGATCTGCATGTATCATAGAAAACTATGTGGAACCAATTCATAATTAACTCCTAATGGTACAATTTTTTACATTAAACATAAGTTTGTATTTTAAAAAAAAATAATAAAATCAGAAAAGCATTGTCATAAACAATTGTAAATACAGATATGCACATGGTTGGACATGAATACAGATATGCACATGGATGGACATGAATACAGATATGCACATGGATGAACACATGCAAACAGATATGCACATTGGTCAAACATACCTAATGACAGATGTGCAACTGGATGGGTATGCATAGACAGATATGCACATGAATGCACATGGATGGACAATTTACAGATATGCACATGGAAAGAAGTACATAGAGACATATGCACATGGATGGCCATACAGATATGCACATTGGTTAAACATAATGACAGATATGCAATTGGATAGACATGTATACTGAAAAATACACAGACAGACATAATACAGATATAGACATGGATAGACATACATACAAATATGCAAATGGATGGACATACACAAGATAGATGGATGGACATATGTACAGACAGATATGCACAATAATTCCAATGTGATTGCTATGTCAATCTTCCACCAAAGCAGGCTTGACAACTAAGCACAAACTAAATAATACAAAAATCACTCTTCTAACTACCATGGGCCTATAAACAAAATGTAAATATAATATCAATTCTCCACACAATCTGGATTCAATTATTTTTTTAAAAACTTTTTCCATTTATTCATACATTTATACATTTTCACCAAATATATTGCCACTCAATTACAAGAAAGACTTCTGCATTACCTTGCATGTCATTTACCAAGGTAATGCTTGACCAAATGAAATCTGAGAGTTTGAGATTTATTACAATTTAGTACTTTTATTTTTCAGATAGATGTGGTTTAAAGCTATTATGCGTCTAAACCAACTTTAACAATCATGTTCTTTATTTTCAGAGTTCACACATTCATTGCATTAGTAAAACTACACAGCTTCATAAAAAACTCTTTTAAGAAACTAGTCATAAAAGTAAAATGACAGATAAAAACATGTACCTATCATGAGCATTTAAGTCCTATACAAATTGGTACCCACTAGCATGGTGGTTTAGGCACTAAAGGTCAAACTGTTTGTTCGCTTTGGTCAAACTATCGATTCCTCTGAATTCACTACTTTCTACCAACCAAAAATTTATTGACCTAACAAAGAGCAATTCTTCTGTGGAAACAGTAGAAACACTTTCCCAGCTGATAAAATTAAGTACCAACAAGAGCATAGGACTTTAGAAAAACATATTTTAATATTCATGAATATAAACAAATTAATACTATTATAAATGTTTGAACACCATTTATCTGCTGAGAAATCTTTTGTCGGATAAACAAATGACACATACAGAAAGATGAATTCAGATGTCGTGACTTGACAATGATTCACATATGAATATATGTACACAGGAATTTCAAACTTAAAATATCTTAGTCACAGATAACCTAAAGATCTTGTGCACTGCATCTTTTCACTTGTCAAAATAGTGTATTTGTCAGACCAACCAATTACTGTACAATTCCTTAAAAAGCAATAGAATGGCAACATTTCATAATTATCCGCAAGTTTAGATATGTGTCTGCTTCTATACTTTGTATAAATATTAAACATGAGTTGCATTAAGCAAGTATTTCCATTTCATTACAAACTAGGTCATGATTTTCTTATTGGAAGAAGAGACATGAATCCAAAATTTGCTTCCCTCTAAAAAACAAAGAAAAATATTAAAAATTGATGAAAACAACAAGTCTAAACCTTGCAAGATATATACAGGCACAAGTTAAATTATAAAATCAACTCAGACTAGTACAAGTTTTTAACAGAATGATGACAAATAATACAGTCTATCTGATTACTTCCCTTGACAGGCCTTTGAGTTTTTAAAAAAGTCATAAAAATATATGTCCAAGCTGAATCAAAACTGAAAATCCTGGAATTTTCATTATTTCATAAATTTGTGTAGTTATCATTCTGCAATGCACACATGTCAATAATAAATCTTAC